GGTATTTTCCTGATGAACAACTTGAATCACAGGCATTTTACTTTAATGACCGTATTCGTCGTGGCTTATGCAAATGCTTCGTTGATCTGAGGCCTGACCTCAATTTTGGAAGCAGGCAATGAATCGAATCATGTAGATTTTATAACGACTCCGGGCTTTCTTGTTTAGGACTCACACTGTCATTCTGATAGACCGAAATGACGACGTCACCTATACGGAACAGAATAACCTGATTATTAATGGCGTTCACGAATGGAATACCCAAAGTTTCAACTTTACCCTAACTTCTTAACTATCAAAAACATTTCCATATAATTATATTTTAAGCAATTATATTTCCTGCGTTTGCTCATGTGAATATCGGTGAAGTAACGCATGTATCCAATTAACTTTATCATTGAGCTTCAATTTTTTGATTTTTTCACGGGTGATGCGGGTCAATTTATTGATTGAACATGCGATTAGAGTTGCTCCATATCATGTAGGCCTGATTTGTCTAACTTTATCTAGTTTTTATTGGCATTGATTTATGTTGTGTTTTTTCCGTTTAATGAAATAAAGCATATTGATTGGTTTTAACGCCCGTGCAGTAAGTCATGATGATGGCACTGTGATCAGTAGTCATTTATTGAGGCCAACGGCTAATGCGCAGAAGAACTTTCAGATATTCAGGTTAAAGAAGCAGTTGAGATATCAGTTGCATAGAAGCATTTAAACAGATCGCTTAACTCTAAGAGCCAAGTACTATCTTCCAAAGGCTTATTATGGGCGATAAAGGTTTTCATTTAAAGAAATTGTACGTTGCAGCTGCTTATGAATTCAGGAAATAAAAAAATTAAGTAAATTTTCTCAATTGCCCTTGAATATACATGACGAATATCTAGCCTATGAAGTACGTATTATATAATAGTGATCTTGTAGAAGTAAGTAATGAGGACAGGTGTTAAACGGCAGACAATCGGGAAATACCTTTAGTGGTGGAGCGTGGCACTACGCGACGGTATTTTGGCAACGTGCTGAATTGAAACCAGGTAGAATCATCATGTTTCCGCTATATTCTCAAAGGTGCAGAAAGGACACTCCTGCTTGCTGAGATTTCAGATTCTCCCCTTCGACCAAGCAGTTCTACTTTGCTTTCAGTTGCTTGACTCTAATCGTTTCCTGCTCAAGCCCGGTGTATCTTACGATATGCGAGCTTGATGAAATTTAGACCAGATGGCTGAAAATACTGTTCCCTCAGCCATGCACTTGACAGCCACTGCTGTGTGCTAGTGGGTATTCAAAGCATTGCGAAATTTTGGGAGGTTCGTCATAGAATCGGAGAACCAGGAAGATTAACAGCGCCATGCCGAAAGAAACTGCCCTTTACCGCTGCTCAATCCGTCCACTTCTACGAATTTGAGCGATCCTGAAGACAGAGCGCTTTAAATTTTGCGATTTTCATTTTTAGTTCGGACTCTAGTGCCATTACGTAGGTATGCATATTCGTAGGCATTACGTAGGTATGATTTTTTATGTCAACGAACCGTTGATTGATTGTGAACGACAGCGCAGGATATCGCCTTCTTCCGTAGTGCACGACTGGACTGGAACATATTTGTTTCTGCATCGTGGGAACTACTGAATATCTTGGTAGTGCGCTCAGTGGACATGTGCTCATTTCGGATGGTGTTTCTCAAACAAGGTGAAGCTCAGGCAGAATGAGACATACGATCAAATGAGAGTTGATAAAGTGCAGCAATTAAACGGGCATTGGGTAGCCTCATTTGCATGTAAACAAGGCAAGAGGTCGATGAAAAATATGACACGACCACTTACGAGCAGTGGAATAATTCGGCTGCGTAGTTGGCCAGGAAATTATTCAGCCGTTATATGATTTCTGCCGATAGAAACGATGGAATCTAAGGAAATAGAATAATCTTTCTACCTTTCTCGCCAAAATATGAAAAAGCTATCCAAACACAAGTGGTCATACCATAAACCTTCCTCGTATAGGTCGTTTGACGTCGAGATTACCTTCAAGTAATTTCTTTAGACAATATCGGTAGATCGAAGTAAACAGCCCAGGGTCGCCATATAGCTGCAGTTGCAATCTTAATAAACGAGCAATTTTGGACATGTTACCAAACGCGGGCTGCCTAGAATCACGTCACCCGATGTCTACGAAACTAAGTGCCATGTCTGGCTCATTTATCGCCGGCTGTTTACTTGCAAGAGATACAAGCTGTAATATAGAAGTGAGAAACGCTTAGCGCTGGCATCTGTGAACTTCGAGCGACTTTCTAAAGTGTAGCAAGACAGAGCTATCCGGAAAACAACAAAGATCACCATACCGAAAGCCGCCGTCTTCTCAAACGTGATATACAGCATCAAAATATCAACCATTTTTATGCGCCATAATAAAACGTTGGACGTTTATTTGCAGCGTTGTGCGCAGAATATTCTGAGAATACCATGGTTCCATGTAAGGAAGAATGAATAAACCTTGGAGACGACTAGCATGAGATAGCACTATGAAGAATCATGGGCCTGCTTCTGTCGCGATTTGGCAGAACCGTTCAAAGAAAAATCGGAGACTTGTTCAAAGCCATTCTCCTCTCGGAAACGAAATATGGCCGTAAGCGTGTTAGTGATCAGCATCGCACCCTGAAGCAGCTGCAAGAGACAGAAATGTTAGCGACGGGGAACATGACCTTCACTGTACAGCCTAAATCATTGTCAGAAGTTAAGGCGTCAATAATCTGGGTACTCCGTCCATGAATGTAATATCTCAGATGACGATGAGAAAACCAACAACATCAAAGTGTATAACATGCTGTAGAAGAGAAGTCAGCTTTGATCACCATGTTCAGGGTTGAAATTCGCTCAAGGGACAACTATTGCTACTAATTTAATTCAACAACGGATTAGCTTAACGTTGCGGCGCAACAGGACAATAAACAGGCAAAAAGACAGTGATTTACAAAAAGGTGGGAAAGCATCATTATCTGACATGGGTATGCTGGAATGAAAGAGGTGCAGGCTATACTTGTCGCTGCATTCATCTCCTCTGATCGCATATTGCCTTGATTTATAGTATAGCCAATTATCAAGTGCAATAAATAGCACAATGTGTAACCCCGGCTTTGATTTCGACATGCATACCCGAGAAACTTTCAAACGATGTTTTACTGATGGAAACAGTGGTTAGTTATTTATATGTAACCTGTTGATCAGGTATTACTGTCATTGAAATGTGCGCGTTCATCATAACATAAAATGTGTTTAGAAATGGAGGGTTCATTCAAACATAAAAATTACCTCAAAATCTTTTGTAGAAAAAGAAACTAAGATCTTGTTGTAGGTTTTCTCAGTTGTATGGTGAACCATAAAATGTCATCCTCAGTTAACTGTCATAAGGTCCGATGATTAATTGTCCAACGTTTTAGTATTTCTTTCCGCTGTTAGTCATCTATCTAGTTATTTCTGAGATGGCGTTTTGGAGTTACTCTCTAATCGTTTTTATTATGTTCATACGTGAGTCATTATTTTGTGATTTTAATATGCGTATTTTGAATATCTGTGCACGACACTGTTAATATTCACATTTCGCTTCTTAGTATTCTTTAACGTTTTACTTTTCTCACCGATATGCTCTTTTGCGATTTGTTCGTCATTCAAACAGCTAATTCATCGATGAGTTCTACTAAAATAATTTCTAGTGCCTGTGTTATTGCAAGTGCATTAATAGTAGTAATGCAGGCTACTGGTGGAAAGTCGAATCAGCAGAATTATAAGTTGAATATTTTCATATTCAATTGAATATGAATGCTTTTGCGTTCTTAGTCTTCTGATCCTAATGAAGGTTGAGTTCTTCGATAAACTTCTTTTATTGTTTACTGTATGGATTTGTAAAAACTGTAATGTCAATCCAGGTTATAACGTGTCATTTTTACGTTTTGCATATACAGTTTGCCGCTAATTTTCGTTGTTACCATTTGCCATGTTGCAGCCATCAACGTCCCGTTGATAAACAGAGCTACTTTTCAGTTGAACCAATCAACGCATACAAAATGCAACCCAGAAACAGTCGACAGAAAGCAACCTTTTAGTATGGAAATGAAATGAAAGTACCTGTCAGCGCTTGAATGTTGCTGTTCCTTCACTCTCATGATTGAATCATTTGGGCATTCCTCATATCATGAAACTTATAGTTTGGTTATCTCCATTTTTGTGCCATCAGCCAGGAGTGCCTTTTTTAAGGCAGATTCTACAGCTATGTGGCAAGCGTAACGTGTGATCTCTTGCGCTACCATATAGTGGTACTCATTTATCTACCTGGGAACGAAGAAGGGCAAGTGACCTAGACCGGGGCTTAAACTCAGAATTTGTCTGTTCCGAGTTCAAGGCCATTCGTACTGAGTAACTCCAGTCTGTAAATATGAGGTAATACAATATATGACTATGTAATTTAAAGTGAAATATTTACTGTAATACTGACTAGAAATAGAGCAAATAAAAGCAAAACAGGATGAAAGTTGATGTTTACAAGAGCAGTTTAGCCGTCCTGTGGCTGAGTGATACGTTCTAATGTTTACTGAGCCTCTGAGAATCTGGGCTGAATGAGAGAATGTAGAGCTGGCGGCGGATCTGCATCGTTGCAACCAGCTGAGACCTGGATCGTTGACTTGCGAATAACGGCACAATGCTGGTGTGGTCTAGTCATGCCAGATTAGGCCAGAGATGCGGTCAAGGTGTCCTATAGAATCGCCCCTATGCGGCTCTAATTTTTCTTGACTCATCTTCAGCATAGTAATCGGCGCTGTGTGTAACCTTAATTTCCAGTTTTCTTTGAACCATGGACGTAGATGCGAGAACTGCATATTATTACCTGTTATTTAAGCAGATAACGAATGAATACCTAGATATGTAAGTTCTATGAACTTTGTCCTGTCGCTAGCCGCAGAATTATATAATTTAGTCCTCATTTGTTGGTGTTGTTTTACTCCTACTTGATTATTTATTGAAATCGTTTTTATAGTGCGGTAGTGCCAACAAGCAAGCATGCGAATCCACAACCCTTGCTATGCCTCCCCTTCTGGCGTAAGCTTCGGTATTTACTCCAGCGAAGCCATTAAGGCGATAAGCGTCAAGGAAATAAGCAACCCGAGAACGTTCGATGACCTGCAGCATCCGGTGATGGGAGGATTGTATGATTCGGCTTTGGGTATGTTGTGATTGAACTGTAGCGCACTTGTCTTCGTTTATTCACTTTTCCTTGTTCGCCATCATTTCAGGACCTCTGAACTCATCTGAACAATGCTCGACTTGTACCTTGACGGAAATTTACTGCCCGGGTCATTTTGGACACATATCACTGCCATTGCCGGTGTACAATCCATTGCTTTTCGACGTTCTTTTTCAAGTATGCGTTTGTTGATCATTTTTATGCCTATGATTATGCTCCTATTATTTTTCCTTCTTTGGGAAGCTGTTGTGGTTTTGTCATCGTCATCTCAGGCATCCGGTGATTAAAAAAGGGAGCAAACATGGTTTATTTTGTCTGACCGTTATAAATTGTATTATGGGGTATATGTCAGTCAGCAACGCATTCACCTCTTAGTCGCAAGGTGCTTGATTCTCGTCCGAACCACTGGCCTTTCATCCTTTCGATGATCATAAATGGTATTATGGTGTCCGAAGGAAGTCATGCAACACATGCCCAAGAAACATTCGCAGCTGCGACTTCTCAATCTGGAGAAGTAGAGACTGTACACCAAGACTCTCCGGATATCAGTATTCCGGACCATATCGAGACGCTTAAGGCCAGCGACTTGTCTAAGAAAGCCCATTTCAGTAGCATGTACCCTGGTTCGAAGCTTTTCAGTCATGGTCCACGATTCATGACCATATGTAAACATGGATATAAAGATCCAATTGAACACCGAGAGCTTAGTATAAAGACTGAGCTCTGCTTTAGTCACAGTGGGTCGGATTTTTTCACGCAGAATGCCACTGGCTACCCCAATTCGCCGGTCGATCTCTTCTTCCAGTTTTTCATCACTAGTAAATACAGTTCCGAGGTACTTGAACTTCTCCACCTGCTCCACTGCCTCTCCGTTA